GTCATCTCCCTCTTTGCCGTACCAAGCATCTTCATGCTCACGTATTTCACCGCTGTCGTTTAGAATGGCATGGGTAAATCTCCTGGGTTTAAGTTTATCCCAATCGACAGGGCATCCACCATTGGTGGGAAAGGCTAACTCTCTTCTTGGTCGCCTGTGTTGACAGATAACTTTGTTTCTTTGTATCACCCACTCATCTTTTGCATCCTCAACTTTGGCGCCCGGCGGGGGTGGTACGTTAAGTTTCAGTCTCTTCGCTTGACTTTCTGATCCCTGATCTTGACTTTCAGACGCACGGCTTTTACCTTCGAGTCTCAGTTCGGCCGAGGCTAACCTTGCTTGTATGTTTGGGCTTTCTTGTCTTTTTAACCACTCGATCACGCGAGCTCTGCAATCAGCATTCTGTGGTTTATGCTCTTTGTCGCCTCTAACTAAGCATTTGCACCCGTAACATCCCGGCGTCGGTCCCATTTTTAGATATTCGTGCTTCTTTACGGCTATTCCTCGCGCAATCAGCGGCTTCGTCTCAGGCGCCGTTAACTCTTGCTCTGGCAAGTCCATGGGTACCATAATTCTAGACTGTAACTCCACTCCTGCCGTGCTGGGGTCAGGCTGCCAAGGTAACCCCTTCATCTCGGTGATTTCGTTGATATTCCATCTTTCCGCTTCACTGCCTTTTCGTTTGAACTCGTGCGCCTTGATCGCTCCGTTCGGTGTTCCAATGATGAGCTCCTGACTCTTCTCGTTGATTCCCAAAAACACTCCACTTTCCCATCTCGTTTCAAGCTTTTCACGGCCTTTGTGCGCAGGCGTCTTTAAATGCATGACACATTCACCGAACTCAGGAATTTGCTTGTTAAGCTTTCTCCCCCTGCACCTTTCATGGGCTGTCTTTCCATCTGTATTTATCGTGAATTTGTTAATCAGAGAAGACGCATAACTTACCAGCCATGGTATAATCGTATGGCTTTCACTAAACTCGGTCTTGTAATTGGCATCCAAGGCGCTCTTTAATGTCCTGACTTGTCCTTGCACCGTTCTAACAGCTCTCTCAATTTCACCGTTGGCCTTTGAGTCGCCTACAGGACTGACTTCAACGCCCATGTCGAGGTCACTCGACGCTTTAATCCTGTTGGCCAGCGCCGTAATTGCCGCTTCTCCATCACTTTTAAGTATAACCTTCTTATATCCGGTAAAGCCGATCATGTCACATCCCACTTTTACTGAGTATGGATCCACTCCTTTCTTCAACAACACTCGGCTCCACGTTAATTTGGTTTCCCTGCAATGCATGACCAGAATTGGGTTACCATTGCTAGCACTTTCGCCTTCTTCCTTTCTTCCTTTAAGCCACATGTAATCCATTGAAATTACTGGTACACCTCCGTTCCTTTCCCTCTTCCGTCTCCTGTGATTGCGCCTACGCGCTTTGCCTCTAACGCAATGTGGGCGCCAACTTCGGCAAGGTAAATGCGTTGTATTGTGCGCCTCAACTTCCTCCCTTGACGGTCTCGTGTCACACTGAACTTTCTTCGGTAACTCTGCTTCGTCACTCACAAACACGTCTTCTACGTCACTCAACTCACTTTCGCTGCCCCCACTTTCACTCCCTTCGCCCTCTTCGGCGTTAAAGACGTTTAAGTTCTCGCTTGGTCTTACGGGTAATGAGGGGCTTAGTAGAACAGGTCCGCCTCGAGGGTTCCCGGCCGCGGTAAACCCTCAGCTGCGTTTACTTCACTCTTGGGCTTGACAGCCTCCACTGGTTCCTTCGGCACCACGATGTTAAACTGAAACGTGCCGTTCTTCTCGTGGGTGGTTGTGCATTTACCCGTGGCCTTATTCATAGTATGACTCAGGGATCTCCCGTTAAGGTCCTTGTCGAGTACAACTCTGTCTCCAGCGTTTACCATTTCTCTGACAGATCCCAGAACTTCGTTGACTTCCGCCACTTGAATTGGCATGCTGACTGAGTTTCCATGTTCATTCTTGCCGGTGACTACTCGCTGCCCGTAATTCTTTATCGTCGTTCCGTCTGCTGCGCTGTGGTGTCTTCCCTGCTTTGACGCATCTGTTTGTTTAATGGGGAAATAGGTGCCTATTCTTGGGGGTCCTGCCGTGTTGTACGCTCCAGAGTCCACGGTAACCACGATTGTTTCGTGCGTTGTACTCTGAGGTGGCACCGCGTTAATTTCTGGATCACAGTCTCGCATCTCGATTAGCCCAATCTCTCCACATTTCTCCAACCAACTCTTTTCCTGCTTTATACTTTTACTTCTCCTCTGGCCCCACTGATTTACATGATTGCAGTTCCCGTTGCACTGATGCTCCTGGTAAGCTTTTCTCAGGTCCACTGCGACTTTACGCGCCATTTTCTTTCTGGAATGTGAGGGCAGTGCCCATTGTCCGTTAATCTCCTCAGCTGCGGGCGGTTCCGGTGGCACGTTCACTTCATCATTCATTTCAACACTGAGCGCATGCTGCGGTTGGCCAAACGAGGTGGTTTGTTCACTTTCCGCGTTTACCGTTGGTCTCTCTTGCTCAACTTCGTTGGCGGTCTTCCTGGGACCTGGGCAGTTAACGGCAATGTGCCTTTGGCTCCACACTTGTAGCACTCGCGCTCGCTGTGGGGGGTAAATCTCCCTTGGCCACCGTAACTTCCACCCCACGAGCCGCCGCCTTTACCACCTTGTTTGCCTCCAATCTTACCTTTCATGTAGGATCCATAGGTGGCACGGTAACCTTTGCCTTTGCCGCCTTTGCCACCTTCGCCTCCTTTCGTGAACTGTTTAGGCTTTGTGCAGTTCCTGGCTAAATGACCCATGCCTCCGCAAGTGTAACATTTGGGGCCTGAGCCTTTGCCTTTACCCTTGTTTACGGCGTCGACTTCTTCATGATCTCCAGTATCGTTTTCATTAGCCCAGGACCCGTAACTCCAAGATCCGCCCTCTGGCCACCAATTTCCATCTTCGTTAACCCATCCTGTCTGATCCCAGACATTTTCGGACCCTTGACTCGTCTCGTTAATATTTCCAATGTCCATCGCATCTTTATTCTCAGTGTCTGAGTCGAGTTTCTTTTTACGCGCCCAATCTTCACACTTGGAGTATAACTTTTGGAACGAGTCAATGTTAAGTGCGTCGGGCGTCCGCCAACACGCCTGCTGCCACTCGTCAAACCAATCATTCGCATGCACCATTATTGCCCTGAGCGCGGTAACCTTAAAGGGGAGGGGCAGTGAGTAATCCTTGCCATACTTTTCAAGATTCTCCGCTAACGCGCTCCACTCCTCAAGTCGGGCAACGGTGTCGGTAATTTTCTTGGGCGGCTCAGGGTCCATAGCGCGCGTCATCTTTGAGGAAAGGGTCGCTCCGGTAACAGCCGAGTACAATTTGTAAACCTTTTGCCAAGTCATAATTCCGTCACCATCCATGGGTCCCTTTAATTGTCCCCTTGCTTCTGCACCTTCAAGCTTTTCGTTAAGGATGTACCATAAGTCTTCCTCCATTTGAGTTTTGTCTCCCTCGGTAAACTCATGATCTCCTTTGTTGTCATCCTCTGCTTGTTTAGCTTGGTTTGCCTTTAAGTATTCGCTCGCTGTTAACCGACCGTTCATTTTGCGTATGATATCATCATCATCTTCCTCTGGGACAACTCCGTCGAGTGTCTCCAACTTCTTGTTCAACATTTTCAGTGCCGGTCGGTAACTCGGTTTTACTTGGGCAAGCGCGTTTAAGAACTTGTCGCTCCAGTCTCTGAACTTTGCTCTTTCTCCACTGAAGTTCTTTAACGCCTGTAATGCTTTGTACTCGCTTATCGGTTTACCGCTCCCGTGCTTACTTCCGCTTCCGCCTTTGATTGCTTCCGAAAGTTGACCAAATGTTTCAATTAACTTCTCTTGTACTTCGCTGTTGGTCTCCAACTCGGTAACTCTTTCTACCAACCTGCGAGCATCCCTTTCAAGCGCAGCGCTTCTCTTCGTTATCGCTAACAACATGCTGTTGGTCTTCTGAGCGCTCTGTAACATTTGAAATGCCTCAACGTTCGATACTTCCTTTCGGTCCTGTGTTACTCGCTCGTTAATGAACGTCGCAAGTCCATAATGATTTGCAAGTAACGCCGTCTGAACGTAACTGAAGTCCCCGTTCAGGTACGCCTGCTCGCACAGGTCGTTGAAGCGGTTAGGGTCCATGTTGACCCATGCATCTCTGTCCGCCGGCACGTTAAGGTTGACCGGCGGGTCGCCCTGCGCGGGCCTAGCTGCAGCGGCCGCCGCCGCCGCCATGGCAACCGCGCTCCGCTACCATGCAAAACCCCGAGGAGGGTTCTGCACGGGAGCTCGGTGACAGCGATGACGATCAGTCACCTTTTTACTTCCGCACGGCGAAGCGAGTCTCGGTAGCTTCAGCCGTTAAACACTTGAGCCAAAGGTAACGGGGGCACCTTCCCTCCCCAGTCACCTGAATGCTTACATGTTAACATCCCCTCCTCCTCCTCCTCCTCCTCCTCCTCCTCCTCTTTCCCCCCCGCTCCTCCTCCTCCTCCTCCCCCCCCCCTCCTCCCCCTCCTCCTCCCCCCCCCTCCCCCTCCTGCCTCCTGCTCCTCCTCCTCCTCCTCGTCCTCGTCCTCGTCCTCCTCCTCCCTCCTCCTCTCCTCCTCCTCCTCCCCTCTCCTCCCCCTCCTCCTCCTCCTCCTCCTCCTCCTCCTCCTCCTCCCTCCTCCTCCCTCCTGCCCCTCTCTCCTCCTCCTCCTCCTCCTCCTCCTCCTCCTCCTCCTCCTCCTCTTGCCGACCACGCGTTCGCGCCCGCGGCTCGCCCCTCCGCGGGGCGAGGGCCGCCGCCGACGGGTTGCGCTCGCCGCGGGCCGCGGCAGGGCCGCCGAGGGTGCCGCGGCGGAAGGGCCGCCGAGGGGGCTCTCGCGCGGAGCGCCGCGGCAGCGCGCGCGGGGCCGGCCGTGTCCGCGGGGGCCCGCCCGGGTGAGCTCTGCCCGCCGAGGGGGCGCACTTCCGCACGCCCTTGTTGTGGGGGGGGAGCTTCTCCCGGTCCATGCCGCCGCCAGGCGCGTCGCCTCGCCGCCGGGAGGGGGGGGGGGAGCGAGGGGGGCGGGGAGAGGGCCGGCACCAGCCTGGAGCGCCTGAGCGCGAGAGCGCGATACCCATTGCAACGAGGGAACAAGAGGGCAGGAGGAGGAGGAGGAGGAACTCACTGGAACCCTGTGCGGAGGAGGCTGAGAGGAATATGATGATGATGATGATGATGATGATGACGATGATGATGATGATAATGATGATGATGATGATGAGAATGATGATGATGATGATGATGATGATGATGATGATGATGATGATGATGATGATGATGAGGATGAGGATGATGATGAGGAGGAGGAGGAGGAATGCAAGGAGGAGAGGGAGGCGGAGGAGGAGGAGGAGGATGAGAGGGAGGCGGAGGAGGAGGAGGAGGAGGAGGAGGAATAATAGGAGGAGGAGGAGGAGGAGGAGGAGGAAGGGAAGGAGGAGGGGAAGGCGGAAGAGGACTGGAAGTGATCAAAGTGAGGGGGCCGGACGGTCATTCACTGTCCCTGGGTGCGTGGTTGAAGTGGAATTCTGCGGTGCAGATTATCGTTGTTGTTGTTGTTGTTTGTTGTTGTTGTTTGTTGTTGTTGTTTGTTAATGTTGTTTGTTGTCGTCGTTCCACCCGCAACCCGCCCCGCGACCCACCCGCGACACACCCCGCGACCCACCCTGCGACCCACCCGCGACCCACCCGCGACCCACCCCGCGACCCACCCCGCGACCCACCCCGCGACCCACCCCGCGAACCACCCCGCGACCCGCCCGCGACCCACCCCGCGACCCACCCGCGACCCACCCGCGACCCACCCGCGACCCACCCGCGACCCACCCCGCGACCCACCCGCGACCTACCTTCGACCCAAACCACGTTCAGGTACAAACCACCATTTTCGGCGCCTGCGGCAGGTTTTTTCTGCATTCCTTCCAGGTGGAGAGCCCGCGACCCACCCCTTGACCAACTCGCGACCAACCCGCGACCCAAACCACGTTCAGGGTACAAACCACCATTTTCGGCGCCTGCGGCGGGCATCTTCTGCATTCGTTTCAGGTGGAGAGCCCGCGGCCCACCCGCGACCCAAACCACGTTCAGGGTACAATCCACCATTTTCGGCGCCTGCGGCGGGCATCTTCTGCGTTCGTTTCAAGTGGAGAACCCGCGGCCCACCCGCGACCACGTTCAGGGTACAAACCACATTTTTCGGCGCCTGCGGCGGGCATATTTTGCATTCGTTCCCGGTGGAGAACCCGCGGCCCACCCGCGACCCAAACCACGTTCAGTGTACAAACCAATTTTTTTGGCGCCTGCGGCGGGCTGCTTTTGCATTCCTTCCAGGTGGAGGTGGAGAGCCCGCGACCCACCCGCGACCTAAACCACGTTCACTGAACAAACCAATGCCGCACAAGCGCGGCGGCGGATTTTTGCATGCCGTCTGAGCCCGCAAGGACCTCTTCAAGCCCCGCGCATCCACACCAGCCCGTCCAGCAACTTTGCACTGGCGAGTTGCCTTGATCAGAGAAGGCGGGGAGCATAAAGTGGAACAAAGATTGCGTTGCAGTTCTCTTGGGAAAAGAGGGGGAGGCAGGAGGAGTAAACAGGGGACGAGGAGAACGCGGAAGAAGAGAGGATGTAAGGAGATTGTGGAAAATAAAAGAAGGAGCAGGAGGACGAGGAGGGGGAGGAGGAGGACGAGGAGGGGGAGGAGGGGGAGGATGATGATGATGGACGACAATGGGAAGGACGATGATGGAGGCCGATGAGGGGGAGGACGACAATGGGAGGACGATGATGAAAGGACGAGGGGTGGAGAGGGAGGACGAGGAAGAAGAGGAGGAGGAGGACGAGGTGGGGGAGGAGGATGACGATGACGATGAGGACGAGGACGAGGAAGAGGAGGAGGAGGAGGAGAGGAGGAGGAGGAGGAGGAGGAGGAGGAGAGCGCCATCGACAAGGAAGGTGGGGGCCACGAGGTCCGCCGGCTCGACAACGCCCGCGTCGCCCGCGCCCGCCCCCTCACTCTTATCCGCAACTGCGGGGTGCTACGTATAACTTTGGGGAACCTTGACTCCGTTGGTGGGCCCACCTTCCTGGTGGCACCACTCTGGCAATCACGGTGGTCGCAAGGGGCGGAAGGAGGAGGGGGAGGAGGAGGAGGAGGAGGAGGAGGAGGAGGAGGAGGAGGAGGAAAAGGACGAAGAAGAGTGGTCTAGAGGAAGCCGGAGAAGGAAGAGGAAGAGGAGGAGGACGACGACGAGGGGGAGGAGGAGCAGGAGGATGAGGAAGAAGAGGAGGAGGAAGAGGAGGAGGGGAAGGAGGAGGAAAGTGGCAGCATCCGAAAGAGGATTCCGATGCCGTGAGTGCCCAATGCCCAGGAGAAGGAGAAGGAGGAGGAGGAAAAGGAGGAGAAAGAGGATGAGGAGGAGGATATCGGCGTTGGTGGTACTGATGCTGCCGGCAGGCGCGGGGTTGAGCCGAACAGGAAACGCCTTGGATTGGAGCGTCTTGGAAGCGAAGCGGGGGCGGAGCAGGAGAGAGGAAGGAAGGGCGAGAGAGGGGAGAAGAGGGATCGGAAAGAGAAGGAAGCAAGAACAAGAGAGGGAGCAAAGAGTGGTGGGGAAACGTGCCAACCACGAGAGACCCAAGATCCGCAGTTAAGGGGCCGAGAAGCTTCATTCCCGCACCCAACTCATCGCCCACTTCCTCCTCATCCTCCTCCTCCCACTCCTTATCCTCATCCAACTCTCCCCTCCCCCCCCCTCCCCGCATCGGCAGATGTTCCTGAAATGGTAGGAGGCCCCCGAGAGGCCAACCACGAGATCCCGACCAACATTCTCTAACCCTCTACCGTCGTCGTCGTCGTCGTCGCCGTCCTCACGCCCATTTCCTACTCGACCTTTTCCTCCTCCTCCCAGTCCTCCACCTCACTCTCATCCTCCAACTACTCCTCCCTCCCCCCGTTTCGGCAGATGTACGAGACCTCGACACTGCCTGCCAAAAACCACCCATAACGAATCGTAGACCTCAACCTACATACGAAAGGCCTCAGACCGACAACCCAGACACGGTGGCGGGATGGGCCCGATACACAGCACGCGACCCGTCCCGAGCCTCATCCCCCAGGCGCCCTCTTCATTGCACCTCTCTTTGCCCTCAACGTCGGCGCGTCTGCCATGAAAAAAACGCCCCTGAGAAAAAACAGATGGACGTCCTATGACAACCCATCCCCGCACCCGCATGCGCAACCCTAGCCTCATCCTCATCCCCCTCATCACCTTGTCATCACGCGCCTGCGCCCCCTGTACGTCAGCATACCTGGCCAGGAGAAGCCGCCCCGAACAAAACCAGATTGAAGTCCTTGTGAAAGCCAGCCCCGTCGGAGAAATCCCACATCTGTCTCCCTCTTTCCACCTCCTCCTCCTCCTCCTCCTCCTCCTCCTCAGCGCGCCCCTCTTCCTGCTAAAGTTCCTGCTCCCATCCCTCCCCCTCCGCTGATCCGTCGTCTTCACCCGCGTCCTCCACCCCGTCCGTACCCTCATCCCCCTGACGCCCTCTTCATCGCACCTCTCCTTGCCCTCCACGTCGGCGCGTCTGCCCTGAAGAAGCAGCCCCGGAATAAAACCAGAACGACGTCCTCATGAGGACCAGCCCCCGCACCCTAAACTCAAGCCCCATCCACACCCCTGCGCCACCTCGTCATCGCACGCATCCGCCCCTGGAAAAACCGCCCTGTTGCAAACTACAACGACGTCCTTGTGAAAGCCAGCCCCTCCTTGCCCGCCTGCTCGATCACAAGATGAACCAAACATGTCGGCCCACAAGAGCTTCCGATAACCACTTGCGGCGGGAGCGGAAACGATGTCCAAGGTTGCACTGGCACATGTTCGCGGGCGATCATGGGGAATCTGCCAGCGACGATTTCGACAATTCGAACCGCGCGCACGCCGCAAACACACCATCAGCACGCCGGGCGCAAAGACGCACCGACACGCAACACCCATGCGCAAGCAATTACGTTATTTTCACGATACGTCTCTGCGTTTTGCTGAGTGCTGGCGGCGCGCCCGCGGTGCGCCTGCGTCGTGGTGCTCGCGAACGTGCGTTTCCAATGGCAACGCCCCTGCACAAACGATAGCTCGGTAACGCGACAGGAGAACTCTAAACTCAGGCCATGCAAAAAGATCCCTGGCGTCCATATCCCGAATTCGTCAAATTCATGTTCATTGTACATTTTGGCAGCATTTCCATTTTGCAAACATGAACTCAAGAAACACGCGCCCCTACCAGACGGTTTTTCCGCCCCTGCCAGATGTGCAGTCGCCCACCCATCAGAGCCCCCACCCCCGATCAAGCTCTCCTTTGTCTCCCCCCCCCCCACCAAGCCGTCCTCTTGCAATCAAGATGCGCCCGCTTCCTCCCTCAAAACACGAAGGACATCTCGGGCGTGAGCGATGGCTTCCGTCACTCTCCCCTCGCTCTGATCCCTTGCGCCCGGAGCCCCCAGCAAAGCGCCCCAAGCCCCGTAGACATCTTTGAAGAATGCGAGCGTTCCCTGCGTCAAAACACACACGAAACAGATTCGTTTGCAACGCTACCCCCCGCCACTCCTCCGCCCCCGTGATGTCTTGGCCACCGAATCTCCTCAAGACGCACCCGGTGCCCCAATGTTCGACAAAATTGCGGGCGTGTCGCGCTTCAAAATACAAGCGGGAGCTTTCGATGTCGGCGATGGTCGTCGTCAACCCCCACGCCCAGCCCCCGCGAAACCAACGCCCAACAACTTGAACGTTTCCTGCTTCAGCGAGCAACGGGAAAAGACTGGTTGGCGTTCCTGCGAATCGGAGGCATGCAGCAAAAAGCTGCGTACCGCCGCTAGGAATTCCACCCATCCATGACAAATTGGGTCGGCGGATGCATGCGAACCCTACCCCTATCCCCACACGATTTCTGGGGGGGAGGGTGGGGCTCACTTCGCCTTTCCCGAGCGAAGTGGACCCCACCCTCCCCCTCAGAAATCGTGTGGGGTAGGCGTAGGGTTCGCATGTGGCCCCCTAGTGGGCACCACCCGGTCTCGATTTTGACTGCAGTGCGGGCGCGGCCGCAAGAAGCCCTCGCAAGAAACCCAGCCCCGAGAACCCGCGCGCGAGGTGCACCCAGAGGGGAAGCCTGGAGCACCCTGGACGCAACAGCTCCTTCAACGGCTGCGGGAAGTCGCCGCGCGGCGCGAGGAGCGAAGAAACCCAGGACACCCTTGCGAAAAGCATATGGTTTCTTGATGCGCGCCCCTACTGTACCTACCAGACCACCCCAACCCAACCCGAAGACCCGAATTTCGGGTTGGGGGGGGGGGTAAGGGTTCCACACGTGTTTATTCGATGCTTCCCGACCCGCCCCCACTGGAAATCGAGGGTAAGTCTGAGCCTTCGGGCTGGGTTGGGGTGGTTTGGTGGGTGGCGACGACTGCGTGGCGGGCCGTCTGCGGATCACCCGGGGGACCGAGAAGCGATCCGGGGATGCCGCCATCGCAGCCAAAAAGTCGTCAGCCGTGTCCTCTCGCGACGCGGAAGCCCTGACGTGCTCGGCCGCAAGCCGTGCCAGAGGTGGCCGCTTGGGGCCCCCGGAGCCCCTGGAAGGCATCCGTCGGGGCGCAGATGCTGGAGACGCCTTGGGCCAGAAGCCCCCCACTGTCCAACGGCAAACTTCGAAAAACTCCCAACCTTTGAAAACTCCTAGGCAATACAGGGCAGCTTTCAATACATAGGATCTTGAAATATAAGATTTTAATACATGATTAATGTATGAAAAAATGTATGCATTTACTCATCGTTCTTTTTAATGTTAAATCTCTGTACTTTTATACATGATCCGCACGCGGAGCATGTATTAAAACCGGCACTGTAGGGGCGACGGAGCTGTGCCCAGCGCGGGGCGGCTACCCAGGGGGAGGCCTCCGCCCATCGACGACGAAGGTGGCCACGCAGCCGGCAGCCCTGGCGGGCAAGGGGCCCTCCATTCATCCATTCCCTTCTCCTGCTGCTGCGGCCGAGTCATCTGTTCGTCGCCGTCATCGTCGTCATCCTCCTACTCCTGCTCCTGCTCCTCCTCCTCCTCCTCCTCCTCCATTACTTTTCCTTATAAACAACTCCTCTCTGTCGCACCCCGACGAGTGTCGGCAGGGCGGGCTAGGCGTTTCGCCTTAGACTTCCTCACTCTCTATGATCCTGAAACTTAGAATGTGCACCAATTTCATGGATGGATGGCAATCCGCTTTCAAAGTTTTGCTCTCGCCTTAGCGCCCACCAAATTCGTCTGCAGAAATTTCACGGATGAAGGGCGGTCCGCTTTTAAAATGTGGCTCTCGCCTGAACGCCCCGCACACGATTGCAAAACATTGCACGATGTTCAAGGGTGGATGGCGGTTCCTTTTCCAAATATGGCTTTCGCTTCGTTTCCAAAAATGCAGAAGGGTTTCACCAATGGAGGGCGGTTCTTTTTCAATACGTGGCTCTCGCATTAACGCCGCGCGCATTCGTTTTACTAACTTACATATGTGAACGTACCAGAAACTGTGGTTTGGCACGATGCTGGAATGTCAGGGAGCAACAGTTAATTTGATTCACGGTGCTGAAGTCCCAGGAATGGCGTTCTGTCACGATTCAAGATCGTCAAGGCGAAACAATAACGGTGATTCGCGGCGTTGACATCTCAGGATTGATGCTCTGGCACAGTGCAGGATTTTCATGGGTGTCCTCCTAAGGAGTACTTCCCTCAGTGAGAACAAATCCTAGTTGGGGCCTGTGACAAGGTAATTTGGAGGGAGGCTTTTTTGCAAGATCGCTGATGAGTCTTGGGTTTACACTGAGCCTCCTCCTCCTCCTCCTCCTCCTCGGTTCCTTCCTCGTCCTCGTGAACCCTCGAAAATCATGTCTTGGATCCTGAAAGAACGGTCAAAATCCTCTGGAAGCCGCACACTAATCCTCGACGTTGTTTTTGTTCCTCGACGTGGCCCCCGACCCCACCGCCAAGACCCGCCTTCTCGGCGCGGATCGCTCTCGCTGGTCCACGGACCCCCGGGAGCCCCAAAGCGAGGGAACAGTTAGCCTGGCCAACCCAACCGCATGCAGTGGCGTGTGTAACGCAGGGCGTGGCCCTCTCTTGACGTACTGCGCGCCGCAAGGCTGTGCGGACAGGGGGGCTGCAGAGCAAATATCGCAAGCGCGCTGAAAGCACTGTGGGGCACGATCCGCGTGAGGGGTGTGCCGAAATGAGCGGGGCGGCGGCATGCGGTCGCGCCCACTAGGGCCGCAGGTGGGTCTCCCTATTGGGGGCACCAGGCGTGTGAGGGGTGCGCCGAAAGGGGCGGGCCACGATGTGCGGCCAGACCCTCTGAGGCCGTGGGTGGAGCTCTCGATGGGGACACGAAGCGCGTGGGGTGTGTGCTGTAAGTGTCAGGCGGCGGCATGCGGACGCAGCCACTGGGGCCGTACGCGGAGCTCCCGATGGGGCACGACACGTTATAGTTAACGGGCGAAGAACGGTATATAATAAACTGTTTCGCTGTCGGGGGCGCCTGTCCCTGGGCGGCTGGAAAGTTTATACCCTTACGGTGGCACCGTAGGGGTATAAACTTTCCAGCCGCCCAGGGACGGGCGCCCCCGACAGCGAAAAAGTTTATTTTATACCGTTCTTCGCTCGCTGATATAGGAGTGTGCCGAGATGGGCGGGGGCAGCATGCGAACGCACCCGATGGGGCCGTAGTTAGGCGAGGCTCCTGGCAATGTACGAAACGCGCCAGGGATGTGCCGACACGTGCACGCGGAGGGAGCAGGGAAAGAAGAGGAGGGGGAGGAGAGAATGGAGCGCGGCGCCCTGGATTCAGAGCGAAGACCACGGGAGAGAAAAAAACACCCGCCGTGATGCTCTCTCGACGACTCGACGCCAGAGGTCCTGCCAGGCCTGAGCTGCATCGCTCCGCGAAAGCGCGAGATCCGATCGGATCGCCCGCGGACCGCCCCGACTCGAGCCGAGGCCGGATCGCACCGCCAGGCCCTTGCCGGCCCCGACCGCTGCCAGCGGTTCGATCCGGATCAAAGCAAGGGCTCCCAACTTCGCGCTTCGCGCTGCGCGGAGCGCGAGGTGCGAATGACTTCGCGCTCTCGCGCCGCCTCCCAGGGGAGAAGAGGAGGATGAGGAGAAGTCGGAGCCGAACCGCGAAGCGCAAAGCGCGAACAACTTCGCGCACTCGAGGGCGCCCTTGCAAATCAAGTCGAGTCAGAATCGCGCCCAGCCGGGGAATCGAAGTGCCTCCCCCCCTCCCTGCCACCAGATGGAAGCGCAAAGTGCGGGGCCTGGCAGGGACGAGGCGGCGGAAGGGAAGCCCCAGCCGGGGAACGGCACCTGCGGGTACCTCGGGGGGGGGGGGGGAATGCAGCAGGGTGAGCAAGCGGAGAGGGGAGGAGGGGGGGCGCAATAAGGGAGGAGGGGAAAGGAGGGGGAGGAGGGGCGGGGCGGAGGGGGAGCAGGGATGGGAAGAGGAGGGAAGAAGGGAGGAGAGAGGAGACAAGGGGGGGAGGGCATTCATGCCTTGGAGGGGCAGCAGCATGAGCAGGGAGACGCGGGAGGAGCAGGAGGATCAGGAGGATCCAGGGAAAGACCGAGGGAAAAGGAGCAGGGAAACACCGATGAGGAAGAACCTGAATCCAGAATACGCAGGAGGTCTACAGTGGAGCGCCTGGGTGGCCCGTGTGCTCCCGCAAGAACTGGCACCAGAAACGCCCGAAGGCCGCGCCTGACCCTCACGGCTTGATGCGGCTCCAGCCAAATCGGCCATTTACAACTTGTGCAACTGCGAATATAAGCAACCGGGGGGCCATCGCGCGCAACGATCTGAGATTGTTGCGAGCGGTGGCCCCCCCGGTTGCCCGATCCGCCTCCTCCTCCTCCATCTCCTCTCCTCTTCCTCCTCCTCCTCCTCCTCCTCTTCCTCCTCCCCCTGCTCCCCCTGCTCCTCCTCCTCCTCCTCCTCCTCCTCCTCCTCCTCCTCCTCCTCCTCCTCCTCCCCCTGCTCCTCCTCCGCTCCCACCTCCACCAAGGGACGTAGATTTCTGGCGATGCGGCGCCGGCGGGCCCCGAATCGTACGTTCCTGGGTCGCTGCGGGCCCCTGGGCCGAGGTCGCTCGCGCGCCCCCCAAGGACGGCAATTCCTACAATTGTCCGGAACAACCATTCTGTCCAGAACGTCCGGAACGTGTCCAGAACGTCCGGGACACTGTTCGGTGCCAACAGAGACGATCTCAACCGACGTCCTGCGGCAACAACGCCGTGGTGGCCGACGGCCCGCGAGAAGTCGCGGAGGAATCTCGATGCCGCTTGCGAACCGCAATCGGCATTCTGCGTCGGCCCAAGAGGCCCAAAGACGGCCCCAAAACGGCACAAGAAGCGCCCAAGACGGCCCAAGAGGTCCCAATACGGCCACAAACGGGGCCCAAGAGAGGGAACACGCACCAGAAATCCGAGCCTTCCGCCCCAAGATTCCATCAGGAGGCCCCAAGAGGCGCCCAATAGGCCCCAAGAGGCCCCCCAAGAGTTCCCAAGAGGCCCCCAAGAGGCCTCAAAGCAACCCCAAGAGGCCTCAAAGCGGCCCCCAAAAGGCCTCAAAACTGCCTCCAAGAGGCCCGCGAGAGGATCCCCACGAGATCTTCACGAACATCCAAAGGCTTCATACCCATTTTCCAGGCACGGTGGCGGGACTTGCTGTAGGCAGCTGGATATGCATGAGCAGCCGCCAGCGAAGAAACTCAAAATCCGCCGATCCGGCGTGTGAACTGCAAGGAGCCTCAGCAAGAGCTTCAGCTTTGAGCCTAAGCAAGAACTTCAGCTCTGCTTGGGGGGGGTCGCCGGGGTGGCTCTGCCGGGCAAGGGGGGAGGGGGGGGGCGGTCCTCCATCTGGTGTTTTCTTAATGATCTGCGCATCCCCAAGATGTTTCGGGGGGTACCAAGGACCCCCCCCCCAGGACTCTCCCCTCGGAACCCTCCCCGGACCCCTCCTGGGGAAGGGGGGAGGGGGGGGGGGCGGTCCCCCATCTGGCGTTTTCTCAATGATTTGCGCATTCCCAAGATTTTTCGGGGGGTTCTAGCCGCTACCGCCTCCAGGACCCTCGCCGCGAAGATCACCGAGTCCGGAGCCCCCCGGATCGGCGGCACTGGCCGGAGGCCATTACAATAACCTGGGCCAGGCGGTTTACTGATGGCTCGCGCAAAGCATCCCAGTGTCAAGACACTCGGGATGCCCTGCCGGTGGCGGTTTCTTCGCGACCGAGGCAAGCCTTCAATACGAAGACAAACCACAGACACCCAGGGTACACTGGCAAAACGTATGGTGTTTCTTGGTATGGGCTCCCACTGTATGCGGAAGGAACTGATGACTGCCCACCCTTTTTGTCAACGGTTGGTTTGGCCTGCTGCAAATTCAAAAAAAGTAGCCAACGCATCGATACCACCTTGTCTAGCACAATCAGCGAACTCGGGGTGCTGAGGGATCACCGCAACTAGTCTCGGTAATCATCAGTATGGTGATATACGTTTCTGGCGCACGTAGGGTTTGCAACGGCGACCTTGGTGTTGGTGGCGGCAGTAATGGCCATCGTGTTGGTGGTGCTGGACGACCACGCTGCGAAGAAATATCGAATGTATGATCAGAAGGATATATTCGCATCAGGAGAAGGGGGAGGGGATGCAATTGAGGATAGGGACGTGCTTGCCAGCGTGGAGCACAAGCAGTAAGTTCTTGCACTCTCGAGTGTGAGCTACGCAGTGTGTATGTGGTGCGGTGTATGTGGTGAAAGGCATGTTCTGTGGTGCGAGCTGCGGTGTAAGCTAGCGGAGTGATGCAAACTATGTGAAGGGCGCGCCGCTGGTTCCCCAGGAGGGGAGGTGGAGTTAGACCCAGCCCTCGCTTCCCCCCTATTAGCTCGGTCCGCCGTACCAAGCACCCTCCCCCCTTTCCGAACCAGCGTCCCGAACCACCCCCCTTTCTGAACCATCATCCCGGATCCCCCTCCTCCGCCTCCTCCCCCACCCACTTCGGGGACGATGACGCCGAAATCGATGACGATGAAGACCACGAGTGGCAAGGAGAACGGGGAGCGAGGGAAGGTGGGAAGACACATAGTGGCATGAAAGCAACAGGTCCTGTTGGAAGCGGGTCCTGGGCTGCGGGGCTCTCGACGGGACCAGCTTTTCATCCTGAATCGTTTGAACGCCAACGAAAATACGGGAGGGGGGAAGGGGGACGAGAGGGGGAGGAGGCGAGAAGGAGGGAGGGGCATGGAGGGACAGAGGGAGGACGAGGGGGGACGAGGAGGGACGAGGGGGGACGAGGGGGGACGAGGGGGGACGAGGAGGGGGGACGAGGGGGGACGAGGGGGGACGAGGGGGAAGGGGGACGAGGGGGGACGAGGAGGGAGGGGGCATGGAGGGACAGAGGGAGGCACTGGGACGACGACGCGTCGCTCGCCGACGTTTTGGCGGCGCGGGGCACGGCGGCGGCAGGCTCTGGGAGTTCACCCAGGTGAGGCGGAGCGTGCCCTCCAGGCCGTTCAACACCTGCGTCGCGCCGGTACCGATGAACCAACAGCGCACACACACCCACACCCACAGAGGGGTCGGAGAGGGCTATGGGTGCGTGCTGTCGGATGGGGGTCCCCGCTCGAACGGGAACCTTCCCCAGGGCCCCACAACCCGCACCCATACCCATGGCCAGTCCTCCTCCCAACGACCCCCCTATGGGTATGGGTGTGTGTTGCTCGTTCGTCAAGTATGTCGTCGTCGCCGCCGTCGCCGCATGGCTCATCCCCCTGGCGCGTGCGCGCTCGCCCTCGTGCGCGCCGCCGCCGCCGTCGGTTTGTTCCAATGTCTTTGGGGGCATTCGCTTGTTTTCCCTGCTCTTCAGGAAGCTTCCTGGGGGCATTCGGCGGCCGACGGGCGCCGCCTAGGCTGTCCAGACGAGGAGGATGAAAGGGGGAGGACAAGCTAAGTGCGCTCGCGCCACATTTGACATCCTACCACTCCGACCCATCCTTTCCCATCGCGTTGAATCCTTTTCTGTCCGCCGACTGGGGTCGCAGAGGAACTTCATCTCCACATAGCATCTACAGGATTTGACGCATGGGTTGCTACGTAGTCGGTCAAGGATCGGTGCCGGCGGCGAGCGCGGGGGGGAAGCGAGAAGGAGGAGGCCCTTTCAGAAGGCTGCGGAGGAGCTCCCATCTCCTCTCACTCCTCCTCCTACCTCCCTCCCTCCTCCTCCTCCTCCTCCTCCTCCTCCTCCACCTCCACCTCCTCCTCCTCCTCCTCCTCCTCCTCCTCCTCCTCCTCCTCCTCCTCGTGCCCCCTCCCGATCGACGGAGGGCCGAGAGAGAGCGGCCCGTCCGAAGGGGGCGAGGCCCGTGCCGCGCCATGGATGGAGCCGGCCGCGCGGCCGCGCCCCAGGTGGGGGCCCCCTCCGCCGCGGGGGGTGGCGGGCGGCGCGGGGGGGGCGGCGGGCGCAGCGGTCCAAAGGCCTTGCCGTTCAGGTCCGTCATGGCGGCCTCGCGCGGCGGGCGGGCAGGGAGCTTGCATGGTCAACCGTATCGATAACGCACATGGTCACGGGCGGCCTCGCGACCAGCGCGCGGCGCGGCTGGCGGTGCGCAGATCGCACTGATAACGGTTTTGTTTGGGAATTGCTTCTGGCCGCCGAATTTCGCACCAATGAAAACACCCTTTCAATCACCCCTGTTCTCACCGCCAAATGACCTATGTAAGTCCCACGTGAAAGTTGGGTATGCAAGAGAGAGCCGGTCAGTCAGTGCAATCAACCCGTACAGTCAGGATGCGGGATAGGGGTGCAGGGGCCTCGGGTGTCCACTTCGAAGCCTCCCGAGCGGTGCGCAGGCAGCGGAGGTGGTCAAGGGTGGACCGAAGAGGCAAGGCAATGCGAGGGTGCCCTTGGGAAGGTTTCCCATCCTTGCTCTGCGGGTTGACTGTAGAGTCGGACTCGATTGGACAGGACACGCGAGAGGACACAAGAGCCTTCCGAGGGCCACAGCGACATAGGAATGCAGGAGGCATGGGTCGCAGGGCACAGGACACAGGAGTACCCTTGATTTGGCAGGGTCGCCCTACTAATCTGGGCCGACTGTAAGCCATGCGCCTAGCGACGGCGCGTGGGCAAGCAAGACTGCATTGAAGTCTTGCGTGGCGGAAGATGAAGCGACAAGCAGAAACCCACTACGGGGGCGAATTGCGGCAAAGGAGCGGGAAGAAGAAGAAGAAGAAGAAGAAAAGAAGAAGAAGCCAGGACGAGGATAAGTTCGGATGAGGAGAAGTCTAGAATCTCTGAGATCCGGCGGCTCTGGAGGATGTCTCGGGCGCCGCGGCCTTCTCAGAGCGTTCCGGAACGCTCTGAGCGTTCTGGAGCGGTCTGGAACGCTCTGGAAGGAATTCATCTCATCCTCGTCCCGTCCGAATGGTGTCGGGGATCTACTGACCCAGGTCCATCCAGACCCGGGCGAGTCAAGCTTCGCAAAATCATGCAGGATCCTGCGAGATCCTGCGACCAAGCCCGGGTCAGTGCGCCCCTGGCTCTGCAGGACCCTGCAAGTTCTGGAGCTCTGGAGCTGTGGCTGACCCCCGCTTGCATACAATGCTGAACCTAAACGGTGTTTTCCGTTCTCGTTCTGTTTTCGCTTTCCCTCGCTTCTGTCTCGAATCAGCCTTTCCCGCAGAACGAAGCCGAAACGAAAACGGCCCACGACATCGCCCAAACACCGTTCAGGTCCAGCCCTGCCTGGCCCTGCAGGACCTGGAGCTCTGGCCGACCCCCGCTTGCATATGTTGCCCCCCCCGTCGCAAAGGCTCCCACGTGGGGGCGGGGCACCGCGGCTCCCCCGGGGAGGGCCACGGGCCAGGAGCCGCGGGCGTCGGATCTGACTACCTACCAGACCACCCCAACCCAACCCGAAGACCCGACTGTCGGGTTGGGGGGGGTACGGGTCCCAGATGTGTGTCTTCTCGACGTTCCCCGACCCCCCCCCACTGGAACTGGAGGGCAGATCGAGACCTTCGGGCTGGGTTGGGGCGGCTTGGTGGGCGGTGACCGGATCGGGAGGTGGGGTCGGATCGGAGCGCGCCTCGGCGCGGGCTGCACCGCTACTTGCGGCGTCGGAGCCGAAGACTGGATCGGAGGCGCAGGGACGCACACAGCCGGGAGCTGTGCGGGCATCGGGCCACAGCGGATCGCCAAGGAGTCATACAGTGGGGGCGTTGACCTAAGGAACGCTCAATAAGGAACGAGGCCCATTTTTTCCATCAGTTAAAGTTCGATTTCGCATCGAAAACCCAAGGAAAACCTAAGGCAAGCTGTGAAACAATCAAGGAACACGGAGCCCCTCCCAAACGAAAAGGGTTCCTTCTTCAGGGCCCCGACTGTAGTCGGATCGGAGCGAGCGGATGGGACTCAGCGTGGCATCGGATCGCTCGGAACGGGCCTCTGGAAAATCGGGAGCGGGGGGTCGAAACTTAACGGGCGAAGAACGGTATAACATAAACTTTTTCGCCGTCGGGGGCGCCTGCCCCTGGGCGGCTGGAAAGTTTATGCCCCTACGGTGCCACCGTAAGGGTATAAACTTTCCAGCCGCCCTGGGGCAGGTGTCCCCGACGGCGAAAAAGTTTATTTTATACCGTTCTTCGCTCGCTGAGGACTGGGCCTCTGGAAAATCGGGAGCGGGGGCTCGAAACAGCAGGCAGCGGGGAGGAGTTGAAGCAAGACGAGCGGGCGTCGGAATGAAGGAAGGGGACCGGGCGATCCGAACCTGCCCCCAGACAGGGGGGGGGGCGACAAATGCACAAAGACGGGCTCGGCCAGGGATGCGCGGGGCCTTGCCAACATTCCATACACACAGGGACTTTATAACACTAGAAGGCCGACCTCAGCACCAGATCGCGGCCTGGAAAAAACCGAATTCTCCTGCCGCCTGTGGCTGATCGTCCTTGTGGTGGGAGCGTAGCCGCCCGCCACGACGACGCTTGGGGCGTGGGGCCGGCGCCATGCGGGCAGCAGGCGCATCGGTCGTGGTTGGAGTTCAACGACCTCGTGGGCTGGCGGATCGACCTCCAGAAGAGCCCCCTCGCCCCAGCCGCGGTTCAAGCTGCTCGGAGGCCTCCGAGCGTCGGACAGAAAGGACGCAAGACTGTCCCGTCCCTCTGGCTGGCGCCTGCCCTGGTCAGGCCACACCGACGGTCGGCCTGGGATGGGCACCGCCGTGTTCGGCGCCAGCGCGCGGCTGGCATCTTCTGGAAGAGCGTGGAAGAGGGAACATGATGATGACGATGATGATGATGACGATGATGATGATGATGACGATGATGATGATGACGATGATGATGCTGCTGCTGATGATGATGACGATGATAATGCGACTGAGCGGGAAGAAGAAGAAGAATGGTAGGAAGAGGAGGAGGAAGAGGAGGAGGAGGAGGAGGAGAATGCTCATCATCAATCCTGTGGACACCCCGCCTTGACAGAAGAAAGCGCCACGCGCCTGCCACTAAAGCGGGAGCCTAGTGTCGAAAAGGAGCCCGCAACCGAGCCCCAACGCAAGAGGCGGAGCGTCCCCAGGCCCAACACTTACGCAAGACGAAAGGTTTTCCTCTTGAGGCGCCAGCGGCGACAACCGGTTGGCGAGGGAGCATCGGCGCCGGCAAACACACGGCGTCTGGACAAGATACTTGCAGCAGCCGGGGGTGAGGAGAGATGTATTCATGTGGGGTGCGACCCGCATGCAACGGGGGCTGATGAGACCCGTGAAGCAACGCGTAACCTGTCTGTGACAATCCGTGACCGAACCCCCTTCCCCCGTATAATCTTAACAACGGCGGGGTTGGATGCCGCGGATCCAATTACCGTGCGTCGCACACATTTGCTTTGTAATAAAAACTTCTCACGGGGGTGACATCGGATGCACAACATCCGAGATCGGATCCGCGCGGTAGGCCACGCCAGAGCCCGCCAACCAATGGAACTCCCTCCTCGCCTAGCGCTGCACTGGACGCCGGATCGGGCCGCAACGTGCCGCCGAAACAGAGATGGCCCTCCATCCGTGTGGCCGTCCGGCGGCGGGCCCAGGGCGGGAAGCCAGCGGGGGCACTCATGACGCGCGACGGCGGCGCATGCTCTGGGCATCGCTCGGACGTCCATTCCCTGTGCTTTTTCCGGTTTCGTGCGTGGTCTTTTTCGCCAAATCATCAAGGATGCTCCTCGATGGTCCTCGCCGAAGGAAGAGTGCACACGTCCGAGCGATGCCAAGTGCTCCGTGCGTTGGGCCAGGAGACGCAGGCCGAAAATGCACTTCCGCGGGATGAGAGGTTCTTCTCTTGAGGCGCCAGCGGCGACAACCGGTTGGCGAGGGAGCATCGGCGCCGCCAGGCCCACGGCGTCTGGGCAAGATGCTTGCGGCAGCTGGGGGCGAGGAGCGATGTATCCACGTCGGGCGCGACCCGCGTGCAGGGAGGGTTGATGGCACCAACGAGTGACCTGTCTGTGACAGTTCTTAACAACGGCGGGCTTGGATGCTGCGGATCCGATTTCCACCCGTCACCTGATGCACCTGTTTTATTATAAACTTGAAACGGAAGGTAAGCCGGATCGGCATGAAACAAATGAACGGGAATCAGATCCACAACATCCGAAATCGGATCCGCGCAAACTGAATTGGATCCGCCAAGGTATATTCCAGGCGCGCCAGCGCAACGGCCGAAGGCGTCACGTCCGTGCCCACGAGGAAAAAGCTCTCGCCCCGGGGATGCAGGATCCCCCTGTGTTGGGCATACTTTTGACTTGGCGGTGCGCCCCCAACAGGCCGGGCGGGCCTGCCCAGAAGGCGGGCCTGCCCAGACGGCTCAGACGGCCGCAGGCCTACCGAGATGCCTTCCGAGCCTTCTCCGGGGCCACAGGGAGGGCCTCCAGGAGTGCGGGAAGGCTTCTGAGAAGCCCCGCCGCCCTCTGGGAGACTGCCTGCCCCCTCTCACCGCCCCCGCTCGGCGCACGGGCGAGTCGAGTGTTGCATGCTGCAGGCGCCCTGGAAAGGGGGGCCCCCCGCCCCCGCGTGCCTTCTCAGGGCTTCCCGCTCGACCTCTTCGGGAGAGGCCAGAGGGCCCCAGGACGGGCCACGAGGTGGTCCCGAGGCGCCCTCCAGGACAGTCCATAGGGGCCCCCAGGCGGCCCAAGAGCGCTCCCCAACGCAGAAGATGGACCCCCAAGACGCTCCAAGAAGGCTCCCACCCTCCTCCCCCCGTCCCGGGAATGGCGCTGCTGAAGGCGGCGGCCTGCGCGTCCTGAAAGGTGTGGAAGGTGATCACGGAGCTGGCGCCGGCCTGACCCCCGCGGGCCGCCGCCGCGGAGCGGGTGGCCCAGCAACGTCCGTCCTCGTCGTGGGCGGCGTCGTCGCCTTCCTGTCGCCTGAGGAAGGATCTCGTCGCCGTCGTCGTCGTCGTCGTCGTCGTCGGCGTCGGCGTCGGCGTCGGCGTCGGCGTCGGCGTCGGCGTCGGCGTCGTCGTCGGCGTCGGCGTCGGCGTGGGCGTAAGCGTCTGCGTGGGCGTGGGAGTGGGCGTCTGTCTTTGTCGTTAATTATCTTTGTCTTTGTCGCCGTCGCAGCATCTGGAAATCCGCTGGCTCGGCCTGCGCGGATTTGGCTTCAACAAATAACCAAACAGCCGGATTTCCGCTACGAAGTGCGAACCCCAGAACAATCTCTCACGTAACAGCCGGCACCGTGTATCAACTCGCACTGCCACTCACAACGTGAGACAGAGCCGCAAAAGAAAAACTAATAGGGAAGAAAAAGGAGGAGCAGCCAGCAGGAGAAGCAGGCCGCGTGGTTGCCCAAAGTGGCTGCCACACGCACCAGGTGCTGCATTTATGCAGCACCAGCCCAGAAGTGAAACAGAACTTGGGCGCCCGAGTTATCCGGGGTAACTCGGGTCCGGGGTAACTCGGGTTTGGAGTCCCGAAAAAGGAACCCGAGTTAGCCCTGACCCGAGTTACCCCTGATGATTCGGGGCTCTGGACGCCCGAGTTGTCCGGGGTAACTCGGGTCCGGGGTAACTCGGGTTCGGATTCCCGAAAAACGAACCCGAGTTATCCCTGACCCGAGTTACCCCTGATGATTCGGGGCTCTGAAGAACTGGCTGGAAGAGAGGAGGGGATGGGGGGCGGACGAGGCTGAGTATAAGACACGAGGCCGAGGGGAACGAGCCCATGCGCCGTGCGGTGTGCACCCCGCACGGCCTTACACAAACTGGAAGCCGCACCACGGCAGCCAAGGAGCAAGAGCACACCACGACGCACGACTGCCCCCCTCCTCCCCGAGACCCCCCCCCCAAACCGAGCCGAGGAAACACCCAAACCCAGGAAACACCCAAACCGAGGAAAAACCCAAACCGAGGAAAAGCCCAAGCCGAGGAAAAACCCCAACCGAGGAAACACACAAACTGGAAGCCGCACCACGGCAGCCAAGGAGCAAGAGCACACCACGACGCACGACTGCCCCCCTCCTCCCCGAGACCCCCCCCCCAAACCGAGCCGAGGAAACACCCAAACCCAGGAAACACCCAAACCGAGGAAAAACCCAAACCGAGGAAAAGCCCAAGCCGAGGAAAAACCCCAACCGAGGAAACACCCAACCCGGCGAAAAAAACCCTTCTCCGGCGCCCGCGCACCGCGGCCCGGCCCCGAGGCCCAGGCCGCCCCCCGCGGCCGCCCCGCGCGGCCCGCAGCCGTGGCCAGCGCCGTGGCCAGCGCCGCGCCGCCCCCCCGCCCCGAGGCGACGCGCGGCGCCGCGGCGCGCGCAGGAGCCGGGCGCCGCGGCGAGCGGCGCGAGGCCGGCGCTGTCCGAGGCCGGCGCGGGAGAGGCAGACCACCTCCAGGCCGTCCCCCTCGGGGCCCGAGGGGCACGGTCCCCAGCTGGGGTGCCGAGACGGTGGGGGCCCGGACAGCGACGGGGATGGGGGTGAGGGGTCGGTGCAGCGATGCTGACTTCCGTCCGACCCGCCTGTCCGTCCCTGCCCGGCTCCGACAGACCCCCGAAGGGGACGGCCGGCGCGCGCATGAGCCGAGCGCCGCGGTCAGCGGCTCGAAGGCGCACGTTTGGACACCCGAAGTGGGCACGGGAACAATGGGCACAATGCCCAGCAGCAAATGCTGTCCCGAACCAACAGCGGCCGCTGTTTGGCAGGCGGCCTTCTGTCTCCAATGGACACTAGCCCCGGCGACGCCGACAGCGAATGATGTTCATTCAGAATTTACAGGAACTGCTGTCGGTCTTTGTACCCATTCTTTCCGTACCCTTATGTCGTGCGTGTCCCCCTCCAGGGAGATTTTCGACGACAAATAACAAATACCCCAAAAATGCCCCCTAAAAGGTCAAAGTATACTCCAAAAATAATCCCCAGACTATTTTTGGACTATGTTTTGACTACGTATGTTTGGGAGTATTTCCTTCTTTCTCGTCGAACATCCCCCTTGTAGGGGGACAAGCCCGACCTCAGCGTCCCCCTGCCGGTCGCCCCGAGCACGTCGCCGGAGAGGCCGGCGTGGAGCGGGCGCAGCGGCCTCGAGTCTGCCGCAGCGGCCCCGGGGCGCTCCGCGGGCCCGGCGCCGCCCTCGCGGGTCGCCTCCTCCTCCGCCTCCTCCTCCTCCTCCTCCTCCCTCCTCCTCCTCCTCCCTCCTCCTCCTCCCCCTCCCCCTCCCTCCTCCTCCTCTCCTCCTCCTCCTCCTCCTCCTCCTCACTCCTCCTCCTCCCCCTCCTCCCTCCTCCTCCGCCTCCTCCCCCTCCTCCTCCTCCTCCTCCTCCTCCCCCTCCTCCTCCTCCTCCTCCTCCCCTCCTCCTCCTCCCCCTCCCCCTCCCCCTCCCCCTCCTCCTCCTCCTCCTCCTCCTCCTCCTCCCTCCTCCCCCTCACCCTCCCCACCTCCCCCTCCTCCTCCTCCTCCTCCTCCTCCTCCCCATCCTCCTCCTCCTCTCCTCCTCCTCCTCCTCTCCTCCTCCTCCTCCTCCTCCTCCTCCTCCTCCTCCTCCTCGCCTCCTCCTCCTCCTCCTCCTCCTCCTCCTCCTCGCTGCGGCCAGCGCCGGACAGCAGGCTCGCCGACCGCGCGGCCGCGCCGCCCGGGCCCTGGCCCTGCTCAGCTCCTGGGGAAGCGCCCCGACGGCCTCGGCGCCCGCGCCGCTTACAGTCAAACCGTGTATGAAGGACGGGTGATAAGGACGCAAGACCCCTGGAGGCCGAAGCTGGGTTTTTAGGGCGGCGGGCGACCCGTGATAATGGCAAGGACGGGCCTCAGAGGCAAGGGCACGAGGGCACCCTGGATGAGGGCGCGCGCCCTCACTGGGCGCGTGGACTGTACGAAAGGCTCGGAGGGCGATCCCATCGCCGAGGGTGCTCGGGCCCACGGCCGCCGCCTCCCGCCGGATCGCGGCCCTCGCACGCCCCGAGACGCCCGCCGCCGGAGTCCACCACGGCCGGCCCCTGCGCATCGCTGCTCGACCTGCCTGGCCGGCGCGGCCGAGCAGCGCTCGCAGCTGCTCCGGCCAGGCTCTCCGTGGCCGTCCTCTTCTCCGCGCGCGGCCCCCCTCTCTCGCGGGGGGCGCCTGCCAGGGAGGAGGACCGGGACCTGTGGCGGCTTGCTTCTCCGAGTCGGACTCCAAAGTGCTCCAGATTTCGTAATAAAAGGGAGGGGGTCTCATTTCGGGGGGGTTTCTTCCAGGCTATCTTGGAGGGCCTGGGGGGGTCTGGGGACGATGTTTTGGAGGGTTCTCCCACGGAGGGGGGGTCTGAAATGGCTTGTCTTGGAGGGTCCAGACCCCCTCCCTTTTATTACGAACTCTGGAGTACAGTCAGCCCGTATATGGGCGAGCAACGACATATGTACATGTACGCCCTCCGCGGTCTTGCCTGCACGAACGTCCGCGTCGACACGCACTCCAGGGGAAAAATAACCGCGTACGTGTACATGTGCTGCTGGCCTCTGAGTATAGTAATAAAAAAAAAAAAAAAAAAAAAAACAATAGGGACTCACGACACGGATGCAAAATAAAAACAAAAACAAGAAGGAAAAAAAAAAAAAAAAAAAAAAAAGATAAAAAAAAAAAAAAGAAAAAAATAAGAAAAAAAATAAAAACAAAAAACAAAAAAAAAAAAAAAAAAAAAAAACAAAAAAAAAAATAAAACAACAAAAAAGTCAAAGAAATAAAAAAATAAACAAAAAAAAAAAAATAAAAAACGGGCCTTGGGAGGCCATGCCGACATTTTGCGAGCGGGGCGCGGCCAGCAGAAGCGGCCAAGGATGAGCCGCAGGGGAAGGATGCAAGGGTAACCTCGGAAAGTTGCTCATCCCTACTATGCGAGCTGACCGTATCGGCGATCAGCTTCCGCTGCAAGACCTTGGGATCGGGGTGCACGCGCGCGCCCCAGCAGAATCATGTCCCACTGTAGTGACCACTGGCAGACCGGTGCCACGAGTTCCGCTACTCGGGGGCCACATGCGAACCCTACCCCTGCCCCCCACGATTCCTGAGGGGGAGGGCGGGGTTCACTTCGTTCGGGAGCCCCCGAGCGAAGTGAATCCCGCCCTCCCCTTCAGAAATCGTGGGGGGCAGGGGTAGTGACTACCTACCGGACCACCCCAACCCAACCCGAAGACCCGAATTTCGGGTTGGGGGGGTAAGGGTTCCACGCGTATTTTTTCGATGTTTCCCGACCCCCCCACCACTAGAAATCGAGGGTAAATCTGAGCCTTCGGGTTGGGTTGGGGTGGTTTGGTGGGTGGTGAGGTAGGGTTCGCATGTGGCCCCCGAGCCACCACCACCCCTTCTGCCACACGGCGCGGGGCTCCTCGGAGGAGGGGAACGTCTCCAGGGGGGCCAGTCCCGCCGCCCAGTGGCGAGAGCACGGCGCCGGCGCTGCAGAACGGGCCAGCTCGTCCGCACAGGGCGTACGCACAGGGCGGCAACCAATCCGCACGAGCCGCGCGGACATCTGCTCCAGAGTTCGTAAGAAAAGAAGGGAGGGGGTCAGGACCCTCCAAGACAAGCCATTTCAGACCTCCCCCGTGGGAGAACCTTCCAGAACATCGCCCCCAGACCCCCCCAGGCCCTCCAAGATAGCCTGGAAGACCCCCCCCCCGAAATGAGACCCCCCTCCCTTTATTACGAAATCTGGAGTAAGCTGACATCTAGTGCCGGGCGAGGTCCCACGCCTCGGCCCCAGCCTCTCCGTCCCACGCCTCCGTGCCCGTGCCGAGCGTGCCCCCATCGCCCGCAGGCTCCGGCATGGGGGGTCCTCTTCGGCGGCTGGGCGGCCAGCTCCGCTTGCGACAAGCGCCACGCAGCAGCCCATTCCAATGGCGCGGCGACCTGCCAGCTTGTGGGAGCAGTGTTCACACCTGCGACTTCCAGGCTGCAGCCAACTGCGGAGGAGGCTTGAGCCAACTGAGTCCCGCCAGTCCTCTGCGAGCTGAGCAGGTGGTCTAGGGAGACATGTCTTCCACCCTGATGGGAGACTCCCCCCCCCGCCTAGCGAAGCCTTCAGGGGGCCTCTTGGGGGCTTCTGTGGGGCCTCTGGACGGCCTCTTGGAGGGAATACTTGTAAACGTGGGAGCGGCCTCGTCCACCTTGATGTCCTTGACCGTGCCGTAGCGGCTGAACACTTTGTGCAAATCGTCCTCCGTTAGCTGGTACCTCAGGAGACGGGACGAGCAGGAACGGGAGCAAGGGGAACGAGGGGCAGGAGAAGGGCATCAGACACCACGATGCGGCCAAAGTCTGTCCAGCGTGAAGGAGGAAGGGCCCAGGACCTGGGACTCGCGGATCCGCGAGACTGCTTCGGCGCGGACGCCGCTGCCAGGAGCGTGCGGCGCCCGAGGCAGGCTCCAGGCCGCAGGAGACGCGCGCAGGAGCACCGGCAGGAGCTACAGCAATGAGGAACTGCATGTACACCAACTGTCGGCTCCCAACTTCGCGCTTCGCGCTGCGCGAAGCGCGAATAACTTCGCGCTCTCGCGCCGCCCTCCCAAAGGGAGAATAGGAGGACGAGGAGGAGGGGGAGAAGGAACGAGGACCGCGAAGCGCGAATAACTTCGCGCCCTCGAGGGGGCCCTTAGAGTTCCCACCCGATGTCTTGGCTCGGCGCCGGACCTTCCTGCCCGGCGCGCGGCGCGCGCGGGCGGTGCACAAGACCTGCGCGGTGCCTCTCACGCTTCATGCTTGTGCAGATTGCTACGATGCGAGCTCTTCTTATCTGCCTTCTTGTCATCATAAGCACCCAACTTCACTAGCATTCGTATTTTTACTAGTCGTATTATGATGACGGTGCTGATGATGACTATTATTACTATGATGCTGCTGATATATCAGTATTACTATGAGTATTATGAGAATACGGCTGTTGTACGAATACGAAATTGAAAAGAACATTGATATGCGTTGTATTCGTAGCAGTCTTACTATCACTAATAGTATTGCTCCTCTTTTTTGTGCTTAGTATTGCAGCTCGACGTCGACGTTTTACCGAGAGGCGCGCACGCGGGGAGAGGGGGGGCGAGGAGAAGGAAGGCAGGGGGAAAGAGAGGAGGTACAGTGGGATTAGCTCCGCCTGTCCAGAGCATCGCTGAAAATCTTGACTCGGGCGGAAAACCCTGGCCACCTGACTGAAGCTAGGTCATCAAGGCTCGACTTCTCTGCGTTCTCGGTACGGGCTCAGCGGCTTCTGGTGTCCCTCGACTCGCGCTGGAGATTCCAGGATGTACATCTGATTTATCTGGATGTCCCTCGATTCATCTGGACTTAACGTCTATTTACACAGGTTTGTCTCGACGTCCCTCGATTTATCGGTCTCGATCCCCGCAGGTCGATTGGAGAAGAGTCGCCACGCCCGCAGGGACCATCTTCAAGGAGGACAGTTGGAGGCCTGGAAATTGGCACCAACACCAGCACAGGGGGTTGCCTCCACATAGGGAAGATGGTCCTAGATTTCGGTATTGGTGGCAATACTTCGGCAACCTTGGAAGCCAGAATGTTACCACCATCACCGAGATCGGGCTCGTCTTCCATCGGTGGAGGCACACCGCCGATCTCGGTGTTGGTGTCAACCTCTGGGCCTGCGAGACACGGGCCACGGATCCGCAGAGGCAGCCCGCAGCACATCAAGAGAAGCTCGGAGCGGATCGGAGCCGGCGCGGCGCGGCGGCGCAGACGGTGCCGTGGCGCGCGGCGTGCCCGAACTCCCCCCTTGAGATGATCTGAGACAGGCCTCGGAGAAGAATAGCGAACACTCATGCGGTTCGCCTGTCTTCACTGTGGATTGCCAATCCTCTGGGGATTCCCAATCCACTTGGGATTGCCAATCCTCTGGGGATTTGCCTATCTTCTGGGGATTGCCAATCCACTTGGGATTGCCAATCCTCTGGGGATTTGCCTATCTTCTGGGGATTGCCAATCTTCTGGGGATTACCAATCCTCTGGGGATTGAATGCCTCCCCCTCCCCCCAATGTTCAAAATTGGCGGTGGGCCTTATGAGCCGCACCTCGACCGCAACCTCCCCCGCGCGTGCCAGCTTTGAATTTGGGGGGCAGGGGGGGTGTTCACAAATTGTTTCTCTCTACCGGATGGTCCTTCATGGCGTGAAAGAATTTCTTGGCCGCTGCCGTGTGCAACAGGCCCGGATTCGAGCACGGAGGCAACTTGCGCTCGAAGCTGGGCCTTGTGCACAGGGGGTGCGGAGGCCGGGAATGAGGAGGACGAGGAGGACAAGGAGGCACTGGAACTTCATGCCCTCGACCGTGACGTTCACCGCGGGCTCTGGCGGCGAGCCCCCAGCGCCGTACCCAGCGCCGTACCTTCACTGCGGGGCCGGCGCACGCCCAACGGCTACGGCCCGCCCCTCCGGGCGCGGCCCCGAGCCTCGTCGTCGTCGTCGTCGTCGTCGTCGTCGTCGTCGTCGTCGTCATCGTCGTCTTGGTCATCGTTGTCTTGGTCGTCGTCCTCCTCCTCCTCCTCCTCCTCCTCCTCGTCCTCCTCCTCCTCGTCCTCGTCCTCCCCGTCTCTTCCTCCCTCGTTCCCTCCGCCGCCTCCTCCTCCTCCTCCTCCTTCCCCTTCTCCTCCTCCTCATTCCCCCCTTTTCCTCTTCCTCCCCCTCCCCCTCCTCCTCCTCCCTCCTCCTCCTCCTCCTCCTCCTCAGCCTCATCCTCCTCACTCCTCCTCCTCTTCCTCTTCCTTCCTCCGCCTCATCCTCCTCTTTCTCCTCCTCTTTCTCCTCCTCCTCCTCCTCATTCTCCTCCTCTCTCCCTCCTCTCCTCCTCCTCCTCTCCGCGCTCCTCCTCCTCATACTCCTCCTCCTCCTCCTCCTCCTCCTCCTCTCCTCCTCTCCTCTTCCTTCGCTTCCTTCTCCTCTGCCTCCTCCTCCTCCTCCTCTTCCTCCTCCTCCTCCTCCCTCCTCCTCCCTCCCTCCCTCCCTCCCTCCCTCCCTCCCTCCCATCCCTCCCTCCCTCCCTTCCCTCCCTCCCTCCCTCCCTCCCTCCTCCTCCTCCTCCTCCTCCTCCGTCCTCCTCCTCCTCCTCCTCCTCCTCCTCCTCCTCCTCCTTCTCCTTCTCCTTCTCCCTCTCCTCATCCCCCTTTTCCTCTTCTCCCCCGCCCCTCCTCCTCCTCCTCCTCCTCCTCCTCCTCCTCCTCCTCCTCCTCCTCTTCTCTCCTCCTCCTCATCCTCCTCCTCTTTCTGCCTCCTCCTCCTCCTCCTCCGCTTTCTCCTCCCCTCCTCCTCCTCTCCTCCTCCTCGCCCCTACCTCCTCCTCCCTCCTCCCCTCCTCTTCCTTCTCCTCCTTCATCCTCTTCCTTCCTCCTCCTCCTCCTCCTCCTCCTCCTCCTCCTCCTCCTCCTCCTCCTCCCTCCCTCCCTCCCTGCCTCCCTCCTCCTCCCGTCCTCCTCCTCCTCCTCCTCCTCCTCCTCCTCCTCCTCCTTGTCTATTACATCCTCGTCCTCGTTCCCCTCCCCCTCTTCCTCCCCAGGGCGTCATTCACGGCAGGCTCTTGTCGCAGCGACCTGTGCGCTGGCTGCCGGCACTGCGTTGCTCGTTCCACCTTGCATGAGCGCGGCCTTACGGTAGCGCAAACCTTTTGAAATCGGCAGGGTCCAGGGCAATAGTGGCGTCCAACCCCGAGCGCCTACGCTGGGGTCGCCGCCGCGTCGACGCGGCGCGAACCTAACGTGCGCACCAGATCGAACAAATCGCAGCGGAGGCACCACGCGATAGGCGACGCGCGATGATCTTCGCGCCGTCGCGCCACCCCGCAACAAAAGGGCAGCTCTGCCGACGAGGCCATGACGCGCGAAGCGCCTCTACCGTCGCGCCCCCGCGGAGGCCTTGTCAGTGTTGAGCGGGGGTGGGCGTTCCCCCTGACACACTTCCCCACCAACATGATCCCGAAACATTAAGTTTTTAACGGCTTCACGGATGGAGGACGTGTCGCTTTCCAAATGTTGCTGGCGCCTCAACGCCGCGCACATTCGTCTTTAAAGCTCGCAACAGCTTCACGGATGAAAAGGGACGATTTTCAACATGAGGCTCTTGCTTTAGCGCCGCGCAAACACGTGTTCAATGCTTGTGGCAGCTTCACGCATGGAGGGCTGTAACTTTTGAACATGCGGCTCTCGCTTAGCGCCGCGCACATTCGTCTGAAAGGTTAGCAAAGGCTTCGCGGATATAGAGGGCGGCTCCTTTTCAAAATGTGGCTCTCGCCTTAGCGTCGCGCACATTCGTTTTAAGAGTTTGCAGCCGTCTCACATATTCTTATGGCTGGTTTCCCAGAAACGGTGTTTTGGCACGATGTCGGAATGTCAGGGCGCCACAATCACGTTGATTCGCGGTTTGAAATCCCAGGAATGGCGTTCTGGTGCGATTCAGTATCGTCTAGACGCAACAAGAACGATGATTCGCGGCGTTGACGTCCAAGTCCTGGTGTCCTGGCCCAATTCTGAATTCTCAAACGGTAGAACTCTATCGGTGTACTTCCCTCAGTGCATATGAAACCTTGTAGGGGCCTCCGGAACGGGAGCTTGGAGGGTTTACGCAATATCCTTGATGAATCTTGGGCTTGCACTGGTTCTCCTCCCCCTCCTCCTCCTCCTCCTCCTCCTCCTCCTCCTCTCCTCCTCCTCCTCCTCCTCCTCCTCCTCCTCCTCCTCCCTCCTCCCCCCCACCCCTCCTCCATCCTCCCCCCTCTTCCCCCCCCCCGTCGTCCCTCCCCCATCCTCCCCTACTGCCGCCGTCTTTCCCTCCCCCTCCCCCTCCTCCTCCTCCTCCTCCTCCTCCTCCTCCTCCTCCTCCTCCTGCTCATCGTCCTCCTTCTCCTCCTCTCGGCTCGACTCGAACCTTGGGCAGCCGGGGGTTCCGCTAAGGCACAGGCAGTGGCTGCTAGGGCATACTTCAGAAGGGGCGTGGCAACACGCCTATGGGAAGCCCCTACCCACGCAGGGCTTGAGGCCCCCACTTCGGCTCGGGGCCGGATGAGATGAATATGGAAATATGGACATATGAAGAGGGGAGGGTTATGACGCTATGGCCCATCCCCTCCCCTAAACTCGCGAGTATTCGATGTTTGGCGGGCCTGCTGGAACGCTCGGCTTTGCGTCGGAACCCTCAGCCCCTCACACCTCACTCCCCCTCCGCCCCCGCCGACGTCCCACCAGAGAGAAAAAGAAAAATTAAGCCCAAATCGTCGCAACGCTGGCTGCGGGGCAATTGGCCGAATTCGTCGTAACTCTGGCTCTGGCGCAGTGCTCTGCTCTGACTTCCCACCCTCCCTCGCCCATCCCCCGACCCCCCGCCGTCAACGGTGCTGATCGCGCATTCTCCGCAACATGTCGGCAGCACGCTCGCTGCCTTGCGCAGCCATGCGCCGGAGCCCTGCAACATCGATGGGGGGAGCAGGAATAGGGGGAGGTGGCGATGGTTGGCCAAGAGTGTGGCCCGCCTGGCTGGCCAGTCAAGAAGAGTCCGAACCGAACTGGTAACCGTGAACCGGCGGCTCCTGCAACCGAACCGCCCGAACCGGAGCCCGAACCGGCCCGGCTGAAACCGGACCGGGCGGTTCGAACCGAACCGGCCGGTCGAAACCGGCCCGAACGGCAAGCCCGAACCGGGTGGAACCGAACCGGGCCCCGGGACTCCCCACCGGCCCAAGAAAGCCCGGTGCCGGCACCAGCCACCCCAGAAAGCCGGCCCCCCCCCACGGTGCCGGCAACCCCCCCCCCCCGGTTCCGTCACATCCCCCCCCCCAGTGCCTGGCAAGCCCCCCCCCGTCCGTCACCCCCCCCCGGTGCCGGCAACCCAACCCCCCCCTCCCCCCCCCCCGTGCCGGCACCCCCCCCCACGTGCCACACCCCCCCCCCCCGTGCCGGCACCCCCCCATCCCTGTCCGGCACCCCCTCCCCAGTGCCGGACCCTTCCCCCCCCGGGGCCGCACCCCCCCCCCCCGGTAGCCGCACCCCCCCCTCCCCCCCCCCCCCCCCCGTGCCAGGCAACCACCCCGCCTCTCCCGGGCCGCACCCCCCCCCCCGGTGCCGGCACCCCCCCCCCCGGTGCGCGCACCTCCACCCCGTTGCCGGCCCCCCCCCGAACCCCGCGTGCCGGCACCCACCCCCCCCGGTGCTGGCACCGCCCCCCCCCCGTTGCCGGGCACCCCCCTTGCCGTGCCGGCCCCACTCCCCAGACCCCCCCGTTCGGCATCCCCCCCACCCCGGTGGCAACCTACCCCCACCCCACCCCCCCCCCGGTGCCGGCACCCCCCCCGGTGCCGGCACCCCCCCCCGGTGCCGGCAACCCCCCGGTGCCGGCACCGCCCCCACCCCGGTGCCGCAACCCCCCCCCCGGTGCCGGCACCCCCCCCCCGCCCCCCCCACGGTGCGCGGCCCCCCCCCCCCCTCACCCTCCGGCCGAAAACCGGCCCCCCCAAAACCGGACCGCCCCGCGACCGCCGAACCGAACTGGCATAACCGACCCGGACTGGCAAAACCGGACCGACCAAAACCGGACCCCGCGCCGAAATCGAACCGCTGCAACCGAACCGGTCCGCCGCCAAACCGACCCGAACCGGCCCGAACCGGACACCAGTGCGCCTTCACCTCTCGAGCTCTGCCGTCGCCTCTCCACGCTACCTGGGATGATCACTTCTGCTGGTTGGCGCGGAGGTGCTTCTGCACCACGCGCTCCAAGGCCGATGGTGGAGGCGCTCCGGGCTGCGACTCGAAGCCAATCGCGTTCAGACTCTTCCTGAAGAATGCCCTCACCTGTGCCAGGTCGTAGTCCTGAAAGTCCACCTCGACACCGTCCTTGGCCAGCAGCTCGCCCGCCTTCTGCACGAAGACTGGAGTGCGAAACGGGCTGGCCGCAAGCGGGTTGAAGACGAAATTCAGCTTCCACACTTGCGGCTGCCCCGTCTCGGTGTAGCCCTTCTTGAGCCTGAAGTACGGGATGACCTCGCTGATCTCGTCGATGGTCATCACGTCGAGCAACGCGTTCAGCTGCTGGATCTGCTTCCGGAGCTCCGCGGGAAGATCCTCGCACTGCTGGAGGCCGTCGACGAAGGAGGTGACGACGTACACGTGAGGTGGGCCCTCCATCTTGCCGCCCTCTTTCGCCTTCTTGTTGTACTCCTCGCCGGCGCGCTGACCCGCCTCCACCGCGTCGTTGGCTCCTGCCCCGATCGCGAAATCCCACACCGACGCGGTGAGCATGCGGATGTGCTGCGCGTTGTTGAGCGTCAGCTTCTGCGCTGCCTGCAGCTGGTCGGCAAAGTCGTCGGATCCATGCTTCTTGCCTCCACTCTTCGACCGGTCGCCAGTC